GAGAAATAAAACTAAATCTTAAAAACACCTCCCCCCCCTTCTTTCTGGGCTTAAATTTACTCCCGAATTCTCTACCTCTTCCCTTCCCAGCAGCACAGGGGGACAGGGAATGGGGGTTGCAATCAGTTCATCACACATAGTCTCTGCCACTCCTTCCTCCTTGGAGGCAGGACTCCTCACGCTCTTCCCCTGCTCCAGCGTGGGGTCCCTCCCACAGGAGACAGTCCTCCATGAACTTCTCCAATGTAGGTCGTTCCCACAGGCTACAGTTCTTCATGAACTGCTCCAGCGTGGGTCCCTTCCACAGTGTGCAGTCCTTCAGGCACAGACTGCTCCAGTGTGGCTCCCCTGCAGGGTCACAAGTCCTGCCAGAAAACCTGCTCCAGCGTGGGCTCCTCTTTCCACGGGGCCACAGGTCCTGCCAGGAGCCTGCTCCAGCGCCAGTTTCCCATGGGGTCACAGCCTCCTTTGGGCACCCACCTGCTCCAGCGTGGGGGCCTCCACGGGCTGCAGGTGGATATCTGCTCCACCATGGACCTTCATGGGCTGCAGGGAGACAGCCTGCCTCACCATGGTCTTCCCCATGGGCTGCAGGGGAATCTCTGCTCTGGTGCCTGGAGCACCTCCTCCCCCTCCTTCTTCACTGACCTGGGTGTCTGCAGGGTTGTTTCTCCCAAATGTTCTCACTCCTTTTTCTGGCTGCAATTGCCGTGCAGTTTTTTTCCCCCCTTCTTAAATATGTTATCCCCCCAGAGGCGCTACCACTGTCACTGATGGGCTTTGCCTTGGCCAGCGGCAAGTCTTTTTGGAGATGGCTGGCATTGGCTCTGTTGGACATGGGGGAAGCTGCCAGCAGCTTCTCACAGAAGCCACCCCTGTAGCCCCCTGGCTACCAAAACCTTGCCATGCAAACCCTGTACAGGCATATTGCATTTCTGGTACTGCATCATGCCTTTCAGTCTGCTGCAAAGGACTTAGCAGTATGTCTGAGCATATCAAGGAAATGTGTAAAGAAGTATGGTAAGGGCTTGATTTTTTCATTCTTCAGCCCTAATACTGGGCTGGTTTGGACAATATTTATAGCATTCTGCAGCTCTTGATCATCCTGGGATGCATGTCGAACAAGAAATCCTTCTTGTCAGCTCAAGTTTGAGTTTATACGGTTGTTCCTAGGCTCTTTTTCTCTCCTCAGTGAAACACCAGAATGTAAAATCTGATTAAAAAGTGGTTACAACTTAGCTGTAAGAAAGTTTTGAAGCCCTATAGAAGCCATGCTGTATAACAGTGTATATGCTTCTAGTTTTATATGTTAGATTTAATCTTCTGTTTTTGTTCAGATGATTGAGATGAAGTATGCTTTTCTTGAATTTTTTTTGCCTCAAGAATTGTTTTCTGTCAAGTTAAAGTTGGTATTTCTCCTTGATGATCGTTACTAGAAACTTTTTTTTCCTAGCATGAAAAAGCTGCTATTGTGACTAGAAGTCTTTGTTAATGAGCATTAGGGTTTTGGCTAGTTATAGAAATTAAAGATAGGCTGCAGAATGAAGATTGCAATTTTTTAGAATAAATTGTGATATATTTAAGTGGAAGTATTTTTATTACAAAAGGAGTCTTGTTAGTGATGTAACTGCATTAAGTCTTCCCCAGCCAAGCAAGCTGATCTTACTTGCTCTGGTATTTCTCCTCAAACAGCCTGGTGTTAAATTAACACCAGTGATAGTAACTTGCCTTGGTGTATGTTAGTCACTATGTTGGCAAGGGATAGATAGAGCATCTGTGCCAGTAAATTTTGAGAATTTATTTACTGTTGCAGGCTTTCCTAAAGAATCTGTGTGACTCTTTCTGTAAGATGATTGACTACGTTTATCTGACCGTAGCTGCTGTTATTGATTGTCTTTTGGATACAATTGTTTTCTCTTCCAATTTGCATCTAGTGCATGAGTTGTCTTTTTAGAGGCATGAGTGAGGATGGGTGGAAAAATCTATTATGATAGGGCTTTATTTAAGATAGTATCAAAAACCTGATTTGGAAGTGGCTGAAACATTTTGACTCTTCTCCCCCCATCAGTGTGACGAATTATTATTAGGTGTGGGCATGGTTGGAATCAACAAAGAGATAAGGATTTTCCTAAGCATTGCTTTTAAAGCATATGTTCAGATTTTTGTAAGTCTTAGTGCGCAAAACCAGATAGCTTCTTTCTTTTTCTGCTCTGTCCCCCAGATCAGAAGTTTTTGGTAATAAAAATGTTGCACTTGGTATTAAGTTTAACTAAATCCAGGGCAGAAGCTAGGGGATATTCATATTCTGATCTCTGAAGGGATGAACAATGAAAACTTAGCAGTCTTGTGACTCTGCAGGGCTTTGCGAATCAGCTGATACCTGCAGTGGACTTAATGCTTGATCATTTTTCTGTCACAGTAATGTAATCCCACGTCCCTGACCAACCCAGTGAACAGCATGATGATGATGATACTAGTTTGAGTGCTTGTTGAAACACTACTGTTTTTTCCCCTTGCAAACAGATATTATTTGTGGCCTTGGGGGACCTGCATTTTCATGCTGTGGAAAAAAGACATCAGCAAGAACACTTTGTAATTCCATGCTTATTAGCAACTTGTTTTCAGCAGATGGGAGAAAGTCCTGTGTTGGTTTTTTTTACCTGTTAGAATTTAAAATTTGGTCCAGGACATGCAATTTCAGGCTATTAAAATCTGAGATGCTAAAATGCCTTTGAAAAATTCATAATTTTAAATTTAAGCTCACTTTAAGAGTATGTTAACTATAAGTTTTATGAATTAAATATGGATATGAAAGCTGGTCATAGCTTCCTTGTGACTGAAAAAAGACTTGCCTTCTACATGGATAATCACTCTTATAAAACCCTTTTTCTTGTTATTTAGTTTCTTGTCCTGAATTTCAGAAGACTGAGTAGCTTGTCATTTCCAGGAGACCAAATGTGATGAAGTACAGCAATGACAAGAATTGTGATTGATATGCTGCCCAGCCCACAGTTTGGGAGAAATCTCTGAATTCCCAGTAAAAAGTGTGTAGTTTAGACATTTTTTCTGAAGAACAGAGCTGATTTTGAGTACCCCTGTATAATTGATACGTGCATGGCTCAGCTCTAAAGTTTTTATTCTTCCAGGATTTTTCTGACTGAAAAGAACTTCAGATACAGTTTTGTGTGAGTTCTTTCAGCGTTTGTGAAAAGAATTGGGCTTGCTCAAGGAATGGCTTTGTCTTTATAAGTGGTTTCTGGTGGTCTTCCAGTTCCTGCCCCTCTGGCTTGGAGCAGATTGACAACATTGTCCTGGTTTTGGCTGGGATAGAGTTAATTGTCTTCTTAGTAGCTGGTACAGTGCAATGTTTTGAGTTTAGTATGAGAAGAATGTTGATAACACTGATGTTTTCAGTTGTTGCCAAGTAGTGTTTAGACTAAAGTCAAGGCTTTTTCAGCTTCTCATGCCCAGCTAGCGAGAAAGCTGGAGGGGCACAAGAAGTTGGCACAGGACACAGCCAGGGCACCTGACCCAAACTGGACAACGGGGTATTCCATATCATGTGATGTCCCATCTAGTATAGGAACTGCCGGGAGTTGGGGTGGGGGGAATCGCCTCTTGGGGACTAGCTGGGTGTTGGTTGGCACGTGGTGAGCAATTGCACAGTGCATCATTTGTACATTCCAATCCTTTTATTACTACTGTTGTCATTTTATTAGTGTTATCATTATCATTATTAGTTTCTTTTCCATTGTATTAAACTGTTCTTATCTCAACCTACGAGTTTTACTTCTCATCCCCATTTTCTCCCCCATTCCACTGGGTGGTGGGGGAGTGAGTGAGCGGCTGCGTGGTGCTTAGTTGCTGGCTGGGGTTAAACCGTGACCAACATGCTGAAAGAGGTCAAGTGAAGAAGCTTAGAGAAACTTTGTATTACAGCGCTTTCTAAATGATTTCTACAAAATTCATCCCAGAAGTCTTTGTTTTGTAATTAATCCTTTTTTTTTGGTAATGCGAGTGATGTTAATTAATATCACTTCAGTGTTAGTATACAATACTCTAGAAGAATGTAGGCATTTTGTGAATACTTTATACTCTTCTGAATCAGTAGAAAAGCCTTTTTTCTTAACTGAAAAAAGGTTTCTTTTACTGATGAAGCGTTACTGAAAATTCACAGTAGTGGCAGACATTGTGTCCACATATCTTTATAGCTTAAAATACCTATTGAGTAGTAACATAATAAGCATATGCCTTTCAAAAGTTTAATTTGTGTTTACATTTTTTTTTAGAATAAAGCATTCCTACTAATATTACTAGGAGGAATTTCTTTTAAAAACCTTGATCAATATCATTTGTTCAGTTGTGCCTCAATGACTTGGTTATCTGACAAAACACTGCATGAAGTTACTAGAATTATCCTGAATCACTCTTGAATCAAGGATTTTCAAATGTGATTTCTGTACTTGCTTCCTCCAATTTAAAATGAAAGACTCTACTACTTAAAATTATTTGGTGCTAAATGGAGTGAAGTAATAATTCAAGATAAAGGCTAAGGAGGAGCAGACAGGCTCTCATTAGTGGATATGTACCTCTGCCTTGGAGATGAGACTCATCCTGGAAGTCTTGATTAAAAGTTTTTCCTTCTTGCTACAGCATGAAGAGTTCCCGAGGGACTGTAAGGGCATGGTAGGCAAGAGGGGAGAAGGAGATGACAAGCGTTTTGTTAAGAGTTTGGTTTACCTTATGGTGTAATGATGCTAGTTAGATTTAGCAAGTTTGGGCCTTAAAGAATAGGGGGTAGCAGTGGGGCCTTAAAACTCTGTTTATGTTTGGATCTCGTCACAGAAAAGTAATTAGAAAAACATTATTTATAAGATTGGTGCACCGCTTTTGTTTTTCTTTGAAGTACATGTTAACCAACTCGTGTCTTCTACCTGTGTTCTTACTTTGTGAAATGCCGATAGTTAGCAAGGTTCACGGGTATCTGATTTGTTTTTCAGAACTTTGCCAAGAATATTTTTGCAATTCTTCAATCAGTAAAAGCCAGAGAAGAAGGCCGAGCACCTGAACAAAGACCTGCACCAAATACAGCACCAACGGTAGGAGCAGCACTTTGGTGTCACAGCCTTTAGATTCAAAAGTGACAGTAGGCTGTCTTGCTATTATTAAATACAAAATTTGTTTTGGTTTAGTTCCAATGAATGCACAACTTTCAAGCATAACTTTATAGACACTCTTTGACTTGACTCTTTAAATACCAATAAATGTAGCTTGAATATAATAGTTTAATTTGTTTGGCATGTTCTTGTTACTTAGAAATTAAATTGCTAGTGCCAGCTTCTGCATCTACCAAACACTAGCGACATCCTGCATCTCTTTGCAAAAAATGTATTAGATGAGACTATTGCCATTTCAAACAAAATGTTTTGCTGTTTTTCTGACAGGGTAGAAAATGTTTAAGAATCTGGAATGTGACTCATGAGTGGGAACAGCTTGAACTAGGTTTCTTTTGCCTGTAACAAATCAGGAGGACAGACTTAGAGCTTTATTGTTTAAGTTTATCTAGGTATTATTCAGGATTTGTTTTGTATTGTGGTGTTTACTATTGAGTTCTATTAAATCTAATATATTCTTGAACTCAGTGGCAGTCTGCTATAAAAGCTGTTTAATTATACTTGGATTTGGTTTTGTTGCTACTGCATTTAACAAAGAACTAAATTTAAATAGCAAGATGAAGTCTGACATTTAATTATTTGCTTCATGTTTAATTCTGTAATTTGTGCATGGGACTATTCAAATGTCCCATTTAGAATAGTTGTGAATATGTAACTAAGCCATACACAAAAAAGATTGAACTGGTATTTAGTGTGCCTCTAGATTGGTGCTTTTTTAAACTTTTTTTCCCAGAATGCCTTTTTTTCTACTGAAGTTGTTTTTATTCTATAGGTTTAGCAGAATTTTAGCTTAATCAGGCTGGCAAGGAACATTTTGTGTGTGTGTGGCTGAAGGCTTAATTATGAGTTGTCAGTTGACAGTTGTTTTTTTTTTACCCCTCCCCACTAGTTCTTGAGATACTACAAAAACTCAGTGGTTTCATAAAACTTACAGGTTTTAGCTAATGTACATTGTTACTGCTACTTTAGTTTTGCCTCAGGTTGTTGTCATGGCTTTCAGTATGTATTTCTAAACTCTGTTTCTCTAAGATTGTAAGTAGCTGTTGAAGGGAAATGTACCAGAAGTTTTCTAATGCATTGAAACTCCTGCAAAAGCGAACTAATTTTATACTCTTGAGCAGTTCCATATAATACTTTGACATTCAAAAATCATCAAATACCTTTTAGTATATTTTACAAATCTTACTTAACCTGTTTTAGGATCCCACTTTACGAAATAAGCAACCTATTCCAGCTGCCTACAACAGATATGATCAGGAAAGATTCAAAGGCAAAGAGGGTAAGTTGATTTTAATGCTGCTTCTAAAAGGGGAAAAAAAAAAACCCCAAAACAACTGGGAAATGAAACCGATGAGTTATAGTTCGGGTTAGGGGATTTTCTGTGCTGTTGCTTTTCATACCTAAGAAAAGGTCAAAAAAAAGCTGTAACTGTGCCTAAGTAATAAAGTCTAAAAATACTATTTATTAGAAATTATTTCTATGTCTCAGGAAGCAAACTGAAAGCTTAAAACCAGAACTTCTTGGTGGTGGGGGGAGAATAAGTTATTTGTTTGGGTAAGGTCATATGCAATTAATAAAAAAGTAGAACTGCAAATATGACTGTCCGGTGCATAAAATGAAATAGATTGCCTGTCCTCAAACAATCAACAAGTACTTTGAAAGTTGCTTCTAGTAATTACAAGTAAATGTTATTAGCTTGTTAGGTCTCTTTAAATTACAAAACAAATTGGTAGCAGCAGTGCTAAATATGAGCTCCTTTCTAGAGAGAAGATGGAAATAATCTACAATATTTAAGAATTCTCACTTATTTTAAAACAGGGTGGAAGGTTGAACTTGAGTGTTGATTTGTTTTTCTAACTCAAAATTTTTCTTCTGTCCCCCTTGCTTTTATTTATCTTCTGCTCTAGTACAAGTTCTGGCTATTTCATGTTTGTGTCTTCTTGTGGTTTTATTTTGCAAGTCTTGTGTTCATTGTGATTGGATGTTTTTGTGTTTCTTGCAGAGGGCAAGGCAAATATTGTTATACTTCAGAGTTGCCACTTCCTTCGAGTTCTCAAACAAAATGATTCTCTTCTTTAATGAAACTTCCTATGCATGCTTCTAAGGGCTTTCTTTTCTGACTGCAAGAACTCACATGCTGCTAAATGCCATTTTAAAGTTTAGCTGAGCAGTTCAGCTTGCGTCTTTTAGAGTATTTGGCTTTGTCCAAGTTAGTACCAATTTTTGTTCAGGGAAACAGTGACATTCATATGCAGTGTATGTGAATTCTCAGATTTTGTGGAAGTGCTGTACTGTAGCTGTGTTCAATTTTATATTGAAATGACATGATTGTTTTTGCTATATAAATAAATAGTAAGCAAAAGTATATTAGAGTAGTAATTGGATATTCAGTTTTGATTGTAACTGGAGAAAGAAAAGCATAGAATATAACACCATGGAGAATTTCATGCTGTAAGAAATTTGTGAAGGTTATGTTTTCCCATGTACCTCATACTGGATAATGCACAAGAATTTTAGAATCTAATTGTAGCCGTCTCTGAAGTTATTTAAAAAAAAAAGATTTGTAGATATGCACTTACATGTGAATACATCCTTCAGGTTTATGGGGTTTTTTGTGTGTGTGAAACTTACTACAGAAAATTTGGTCAGATATTCTATTATATTCTCTTGAAGTCTGTTCCCTGCTGGCCTCAATATACTTTTATTTCAGTGCAGTGGTTTTTATTTACTACTACTCATTGACAATTGCACGGGGGTGGCAGGAGAAAAAAGCTGAAGCAGGATATTTGCTAGCTTTTTTAGCATTGAAAAATAGTCTACAAATAACATCCATGAAGAATTAATTGTTATAATTACAGCCAACGGAATTTGGGAGAGAAAGGAAGGGAAAAAATACAAATCATACCAAAACCAACCCTTCTGTGAATATTTTTACTAGTACTTCTTCAGTTTGCTTCTGATACATGAGTCTTGAAGATTTAAAATGTTATTTGCCAAGTAGTTTTACTACTATTTCCTATTAAGAGTTAAAAATACTAAATACGTATCCTGAACAATATGAAATAAAAGGTGGAGAAAGAAATTAATGGACAAGTGTAACAGTTCAACTGTACCAAAGCATTTAATTCATTGTGGACTCTTTTACAACAAGAAACTTAGGTAAAGGAATGGTCTGTGTCCTTCTAGGTGACAAGTTACATAGTTCTAGTAAGCAATCCATGTAGACAAGATCTGTACTAAACAGGTGAATATATTTTATGCCTTTAATGCATGTGTGTGGTTCAAGAGGGAATAAAAAATAACAGGTTTTGCATGGCAGGAAAAAGAACCCAGAAAAGTTTGAGTAGCTCACCAGTGCTGGTTTAGTGTAGAAATTTCTGAGCAGAAATCAAAGATGACTTAAATGATTGCTGGGGTGGGGGTTGGGGGGGGAGAGTGCAATTTCTGCCTTTAATTAATAAAGATGAAAAATCCATTTTTATGTGATATGATTCTGAGAATGTGGTCTTGGTGTTTCCATCAGTGCTGAAATGGAGTGGACTGAACTGCAGCTCTTGTTGCAGTTGAAAGGTTCTTTTGTGATGTGGTTATGAAATGCCTGAAATAGTCATATTCTACCTGGGTAGTTGTTATTACAAATCTGCATCTTTCTAGGACATGTTTATGTGTCTTAACTTACACAGTTTATTATATTTGGTTTAGTCACATATGGAGTTAATTTTGTATTTTAGTTTTCTAGGTGTATTTAAAGAAATAGGTGGTTTAAGAATAGCACTGGTGTAATACCAAGTTAGATATGTGTAGGCTAGCACTGGAAGTACAAATTAGGTGTTTGAAAGAATGTATTTCAAATACAAGATTGACTTATGAAAGGTATTGATACAGCATTTATGGAAATTACGTAGAATTAGCAATTAATGTCTGGATTTCTTGAGAGTACCTAGAGATATTAGAGATCTTCCTCAGCTACAAATTAACTTTAGAAAACAGCAGATGATCTTCTGAGGTATTCTATTATAACTTTAAAATATTAGTCTAACTGAAACTTACAGTGTGGGTAGTTTATAAAAGACATAATTAAGTATTAATGTTTTCCTATGCCATTTAGCACTAGTAATGTGATTTGCTTAAAACTGAACTAACTATATGTATCACTTGCAACCATATCACAAGTGAACTCATTCCTTAAAGGATCTTTAATTTAGTTGCCCTCAAAATTGAATTGTGGCCCCAAATAGTGCAGAAGTGAGATTGCAAGCAGAAATAGTCATCAATAAAAGTAAAATAAGGCACTTTTTGTTCCTTAAAGACTGGGTTTTTTACAGTTAATCTAGTAAGAATTTGGAATTATGTGTTTATGGAAAGCTTGCAGTACTGGGGATTTTGGGAAAGAATTCTTAAGGAAAAGAAGGATGATTATTATACCTCAAACTCAAAATAACTTGCAGTCTTTATACCATTGTGTCCATGTTTATTAGTAATGGAGGATAACAACTGAGGTGAAGTTGAACCCTTTAGACTTGTGTCACTCTGAAGGGGTTCCACATCTTACCCTATATGATGACTGTGTATGTGGTTGGCCAGAGATGTGGAAGGGAGGATGGTATGATGCGTGTAACAATGTGCGTATTAGTGATTTTGGCTGAACATTGAAACAAAACCAAGAGAGGCTATGTCTCTAACCTTTTGTCTTTGTGTCTCATCTGTTTGCTCTTTCTTCAGAGGTATTGAAACTACAGGAAGGATTCACAGTAGTACCCTCTTAGCTGCATCATGATTACAGCTTATTGTTTATCGGCAGTTTCATGTAATACTACAGTATTCGTGAAGATTTAAAGTTTAGGCAGCATGGAGGTGAACTGTTTTTTCTTTGAATATTTGTGTGGTTTAATACAGAATTTTTCCATTAACAGTCTTGTTCTTAGCATAAACAGTTCAAAGCTTATAGAACTCAGATCGTGCATCTTGTTTTAAAATTCCTAAATTTACTAAGTAAACTGCTGAGTTGCAGCCAAACTTCTCTGCTTCTTGTGATGGATTGTTATTTCTGATGCGGTTTATCAGGATGCCTCTCTGGTTGGCTTACATGAAATTTTCATGCCAGATGGGACAGGCTTTGCTGCTAGAATGGTTTCAATTGCTTTAATAGTAAATGTGAGGGAGTTGGTAATTGTAAAGTACTATTCTTGAAGAGCAAATGAACAGTTACACTTGCAGTCAACAGAACTGCTTATGCAGCCCTGAGTCAGTAGTTGGTAGCTTTCTCTCAAATGAGTGTTTTGTTACTGCAGCTTTGGTTAGGCAGGAGAGAGAAATCTTTCCTTTGGTTCTTAAATTTCTGTGAATTATGCCATAGGAAATGTATTAGAATGTCTCTTGCAGTAGGACTCGTATGTTCTAGGTATTTCCACAGTGGAAGAACATGTTACTTGGCAGTGCAGCTGTCATGCTGAACTGCTCAAACAGTTTTGAGGTGAGGAGGTGAACTCCCTGTAATTATTTGCCTTGATTGCTGTTTCCTTCCTGTTGGTTTTGTTTCCTTCATGCTGGCAGTAATGGTATCATCTCTTCAACAACATGGAGCTCCATTCTGTGCTAAACTTTCTCTATTTTTCTTTTGTAGTTTTATTCCTTTCCTTCATATTACTGCACTTAGCTATTTTTTTTTTACACTTATTAATGTAATTTATTAATGTGCATCTTTACTAGTGGTATTTTATTCATGCCACAGACCATCTTGTTCAAACTACTAAGTCTGTCGTACCTTCTTGAGCAACATAATTTTTAAATCCTTTTTAGGATTTTTAAAAAATCCTGTGCCCAAATGTCATTTGACGCCTAGGAAGGTATCTCATGTCCTCTCCTGTGTGCCTCAGTGTTTGATATATACAAACATATTTATTGATGTATATGGTTTGCAGTACAGCCTGTGGTATACCAAAACTTTGAGCTGATGTGTTTGGTTCTATAGGACATTCTAGGTACTAAACTGTTTTGGATGCTATACCTTGTTTTTTCCCCAGTTTCTTGAGTGGCTTTACCCGAGATCCTCCTTTTCACATGCTTGTTTCTTCGGTAATTTCAGCGTGTGAAATAGTTCTGGGATGATAATCTTGAAGATTTAAGATTATTGTGACCCATTGAGTGCATCTCTCAGATGACAAAGCAAAGTTTCTCTGTGCTGCTCCAAGTGTTAGGTCTTTAAGGTGTGTTCCAGGACCATTGTTCTTGTTTGCCTGCTATTGTTGTTGTCAAGGTTTCAACACAGCAGAAGCCAAT